TCAGCAATGTTGTATTAATTAACATCTCAAACTAACGATTATTCAGGGCTACTAAAATGCAAACACAAAAGACATTTCACAGTGAGTGTCATATAATGTATATCTTCAAGTACATACCGATACATGTAGCAGTGTATACACACTCAATTTTAATATTGTACAGTGTAATATTAATATAATAATAAACTATGTTATAGTACAAACATAAATGTTTGAGTCGCACACACACACTTGTACTAATGTTACTACATGTGTAATTAATATTTACTTTGCCATTCTTTTAAAATGTCCTCTTACAAACAAAAAAATTGTCAAAAGAGAATAATCTTCTGTCATCTAAATCAGACCAATGATTGGTTTCTTGGAAATGTATCGTCTCATTCTCTTAGTAGCTTCTAGAATTGTCCTACTAACACAGTAGCATGATGAGTACCCTAGAACTGGTCCACACATTATTAAGCCTATCAAGTTCTCACTTGAATTCTAAATTTTAAAATCTACTTGTTTAATCTGGGAATACCATGTTCAATACAAGTCAAGTCTCGTAGCATGTATGTACACAATGTGCGTGAAAATACATCGTTAATAACAAATTTTAATACTTTCAGAAACACAAGATTGCATTTCAAATTTAATTTACTTGCGCAGTAACAAAACAAATGAGAAGCAAAAGTTCAATAGTGGAAAAATAAAATGGCCAATTATGTACATGTATCTGAAAGACCCATCTGGTGGCTTTTACAATGCAGATGGTGCTGCCTCTACATGTGCATGTATATGGCTCTCTCTGCTTGCTCTTTACATGGGGTCGACCCTAGAGTAGTTTGAATACTCCCCAAGCAGAGTGAGGTTGGTGACGCAGACCACTAAACGTTTACACTGAATACCAATCGAGGTACAAGCCGGAAGAACACAATCACTGACTGTACGATAATGTACAATGTACATGTACAAGCAATTTCAGACTTGATGCTTTATAAAATGACAGCAGGATTTTTTTTCTCGATGTGGGCATGACAGTCGAAAACGTTTGTTTCAAATACATTTCAAACTACACTCGTCCTTTGTCACTGTCTATGACATCTGCATGTTATCTGTCAATCTGTCTTTGATTCCCCTGTGGTAACTATGGAAACATAGCCTTGATGACTCATTAAAATGAGTCACTTTAAGGTTGCTCAGTACAGTGTCAACTAAATACTTTGTGATTGGATTGCTCATTGCTATACAAGAAAAATTAAGGGTACAAACCTATTTTTTGGGATAAACTTTTAATTACTGTATGTAGATTACAGAGTAAATACATGTACATTGAACTCTACAGGGGAAAAAGAATGGGAACCGTCACCTGTGCATGTGTCAGATGGTCATAGCGTTTCATTGTTTACAAACAAGCATCTACCCATGAGCCTTTGCAATACAACTACATTTAATTTCAAAACTGTTTTCTCAGCCAATTTCAAACTTGAAAAATCACAAAATTTTTTGTCAGACTTGTGTAGGAAATTGAAATGCGTAACACTTTACAATATACGTTACCAATATGTTTTCTAGATGTTTTCTGCGCATGAGGACACGTTTCTTTTTTAAGATGACCATTTTTGAAGGATAATTCATGATTTGAAAGTTCTCTAGGTGGTGAAATGACACATTTCAGTGTAGCCAGATATAAATGAAATTTGAGAGTGACAATTGGTTAAGGGCTAGCCAGAAACACATCAGGTCATTTGCTGCCATAGGGGGCATACTTTAGATAGGTAACGCTCAGCCTGTTGTATGTCATTTTGTTTGATAATACATAAAAATTTGTAAAATCATAAAATAAAAAACACAGCAGTGTTTATTAAATAATATAATGAAAAGATGAGTGCCTAGGATTTACATATATATATGTACAGAGGTACATGTAATTTATGACAATGTTGCTTGTGTTGCTTGTCAAAACAATGTTTTTATTTAACAACAAGATGCTTCCTGATGGGCATATTTCGTGGTCACAATAGTATTCACAAAAGTAACTTGGTCACAATTCTATAGATCTTTTTTAAACTGACTTTCCGATTCCCACCACCAACTAGATTTAACAAATCCAAAATCACTCAGAATAATTTTGTTTACTTTGTATGTGTACTATGTTAGCATCTGAAGTTTTGATAATGTTAATGGAAACATAATATTTTATTGAAACAAATAAAATACCGTAGAGGAATTAAAATAGTTAAATAACAAAGACAATGCAAATAAAAATCTCAAAAAAAAAAAAATAAGGTTGCACAATAGAAACTTAAATTAAGTTCTCTTTGTGCTCGTCATATTAAAGCGGAGGGGTTGTCGCGCGTGTCCTTGAAACTTCCAAGTGACGTATACAACAGATTGTTTATTTACATCAAAACACGTGTTCCGTGTAGTAGTAATATGGCCAAAAATAAAAACAGCCGTTATTCGGACATCTTTGATCTGATTATGAAACACACTGATATGTATGATGTATGTGCCAAATACAAATGAAAATGGTACATAAATTGTGGAAATATAGTAGTAAGGCCAAAAAGTCAGATGGCTGTCAATCGGCCATCCTTGACCAGATTTTGAAACAAATTGTCATGGACATGCGTCCTAACATGTATAAAGTACATGTACGGTATGTGCCAAATTTGAATGAAAACTGACAGAGCACGTCCAAGATACCGCATAAAAAAACAAACAAGATGCCTGCCAGTCAACCATCTTTGATCCAATTGCGAAATAAATCGTCATGGACATGTATCCTAACATGTATAATCTATGTACCAAGTTTGAATGACAACTGACAAAGCATGTCCAAAATACAAGATTTTCCAAAAAACAAGATGGCTGCCAGTCGGCCATTTTAAATCGAATCGTTAAACCACTGCATGTGCATATGTCCTACATGTATGATCTATGTACTAAATTTGAGTGAAAACTGACAAAGCATGTCCAAAATACGACATTTTCAAAAAACAAGATGGCTGCCAGTCGGCCATCTTTTATTTAATTGTGAAATAAATCGTCATGGACATGTATCCTAACATGTATAATCTATGTACCAAGTTTGAATGGAAACGGACAAAGCATGTCCAAAATAAAACATTTTCAAAAAACAAGATGGCTGCCAGTCGGCCATTTTGAATCAAATCGCTAAACCACTGCATGTGCATATGTCCCACATAAAGTACTAGACACATGCAAAGAATGAACGGAATCGGTCCAAAGAATTCTGAGATATGACTCCAGACGGACGGACGCACAGACGGAGACCGAATTATAAGTCCCCGTTTTCGGACTTCGTCTGAACGGGGACTAAAAATAGTAGAACACGCCTAATAATATCGTATCTGTGGGCAGTATTTGAGAAATTTCAAATTGGTTGAAGGTGCCTACTCCATGTATACATGATTTTTTTTAATGTACAGACCAAGTTGACTGTGGATGGAAATGTTGCTACTGTGCAACAATTATTTATGGGTGTATATAAACAAATATGATTTAAAGTTCGCAATTGAGTGATTTTGCAGGTTGTCTATGGGGGATGCAGAATTTTTTTGCAAATATTGTATACACTGACATTTATTTTGTGTTTACGTTTGTACATGTATATAGCTATGTTGTGTAGGTTGTTCTTAATATATGGATTGTTGTCAGACAATTGTTTTGTGTTCTTCCCTATATGACTTTTGCACAAAAATCAACAACTGTTATTTCCACTTTGCAGTATCTCATATGAA